TGAGCGCCCTTTTTATAGATAGGCACGATAATGGCTAGGCCCCAGTCCTCTGGAATTTGTGCAATGCGATCGATATAGGTAAGCAGGGATGCAAGGACAGGAGTCCACCAATCCAAATTGTTTCGTAGTATTTCAGGCGTAATGAAATCATTACCTGGAGCTTTACCAGGCTTTAGCTGATTTATAAGCCTCTTTATTTCAGCATTTGTGACGGGTCCAATTTGGGAACAGGTTAACATTGAGATCTAAGTCAACTATATGGGCCTCTTCTTGTGAATATAATGCTCTAAAATGGTCTTCCCACACAGATGAAGATATAAGGTGAGGAAGTGAAAGGGGCCTGTCAATTGAATGGAAAGCTATGAGGTGTCAGAACAGAGTGGAATTTCTGGCTTGAGAAGCTGTTATCAGTTGCTGCCAGGAAACCTTAGTGAATTCTCTTTCCTCATTTTGTAAAAAATGTTTATATTGTTTCTTCAGGATCATAAAATCTTGGATGGGGTGCTCAACTGGGTTCTCTTTATATAGCTTAAATTCCCTGATCAGTTTACTTTTGGCCTCAAAACATTCTGCATCAAACCAGGGCTGGGAAAAATAAGTCTTGCCCCCTGGGTTATCTCTTCTCTTTGATATCTAGGTGGAGATCACTGGGTGGAATAACTGAATCAGTTGTGTAAATGTCTTCAGGGGAGAGTCCCCAGACCTCTCTCTGACTATGGTGGAGTGGAGTTGCAGTGCTGCTTCAGATAGAAGCAGCTGAGCAATTTGCTCACTAAGTTGCTGAGACCATTTGACACGAACTAACCTCAACTTTGAGTCTGAATCCCAAAATGGGGTGGGTTCTGTTTCCAAAAAGCAATTGTCAGATGCTTTTAATACTGTAATACTTGGAAGATGATCACTATCAGGTTGATTTCCTAAATAAAATTTTTGTACAGAAGTGATCAGATTCCATAAGATTAAAGTATAGTCAATCAGGGAAGGTCTTGAGCCAACCCAGTGGGAGAATTCACCAGGGAAATCACTAATAGATCCATTCAATAAATATAAATTTAATTTGTTAATTGTTTGTAATAGAGACGGCCCCTTATAGTCCCCTTTTGAATCTTTAGATTGCCGGATTAACAAAGGGGGAATCGTGACTGGTTCTGGGGGAAACTGAGTAAAAAGTACCGTATCATTCACCCCCACCCTAGCATTTAGATCACCAGAAACTATTACATGAGCTAAGGGATTATTTGACATAAGAGTACTTATGTATACTTCCAATTTAGTCCAGAAGTTGTTAAATTGGGACCTATTTTGAAGAGGTGGAAGATAAACATTAACTAACAACAATAGAGCATTATTACATTTTAACAGCACAGACATTGCATAGCACTCCATTGGGTCTAACTGTATAATATTTGAATGTAGTTTGGTTGAGATTTGTATATTTAATCCACCACACAATCTGCCTTGTCCTGCTACAGGGGCTGCGGGAAGTGAGAAGGATTTATACCCACTTATGAACAAGTTGCTGTCAAGCCAGGTTTCTTGGAGTAGGAGTAGGTCAAATTCAGCAATATAGTTTTAAAAAGCAGAATCCTTGGATTTAGTGTTCCAACCTGCAATGTTCCATGAGAGGATAGACAGAGATTTAAAAGGATTTATACCCACTTATGAACAAGTTGCTGTCAAGCCAGGTTTCTTGGAGTAGGAGTAGGTCAAATTCAGCAATATAGTTTTAAAAAGCAGAATCCTTGGATTTAGTGTTCCAACCTGCAATGTTCCATGAGAGGATAGACAGAGTTTTAAGAGCATCCAAATGTCTATCTGAGTTCCCAGGTGTGACCATTATTAAAGGCAAATCC